CAACAGCAAAATGAAACCATGCAATGAATGTATTAATTGATTAATTTGCATACTGACAACCTAGAGGTTGGAAAGTGACTGAAGATGGACGAGTCAGACTCGCTCGTTCGATAAACTGCTAGCATACTCCCAGCCACAGTCTGAAGCAGATCAGTTATGTGCAGCACTTCTTAAATCGTTTCATCAAATAATCTGTGTTACATGCTATCAAACAGCGTCCCGAATACTCCGAGCTAGCGCTCACTCTGATTTGGTTGAAAGCCTTGATCGGGTGTGTTCGAGTGTGCTCACTCAAGAGACTTTGATACCATGTATGGAGTGGTTCTGTTCACCGTTAACAAAATTTTCGAATATCATCATTACTCATCGACTACTGGGGTAATGAATGGGTTTGTTGTCTCATTTTCCGTCGTTGACCTCAGAGAGGGGATAGGTGGGAGGAACGTGATTTCGATCCCCAGAAGGAACGAAATGCAGTAGACCAACGATTAGAACAAAAATGAGTGAAAAATGTCATTTGTCATTTGCACAAACGCGTAAACTTATTTTATACTGATTCTTTTTGACGATTATTGGATCCGTTCTTCAAAATTACGGCACAATGGATGAATTGAATAATCAAATGATACTTGAAACATCGGGTCCCTTTTATCCAATTCGTTAGAACCGAGAGAAGACAAATACTGTGAGATGTTAACATTTCTTTTAATCTCGTCTGGTGAAGACTCTGTTTGATCGTGTGGGGAATATTTACTTCTCTGAAACTGTCCAAGAAGAAGAGACCCTTCTGCGAAGGACGCTACTGGATAACGGCTATCCAGAGAAATTTATTGATGTGCATACCAGAAGAAATACACCAGTATCAATAGAAATATGTGCGGCAGGAAACGATGGACAAAGGGCTGCCTTGAGCTTTTGACGCACTTCGTTTATTATATGATCACCTTTAAAGGCGAGTCTGAGGAAGATGCTTTTCTTCGGTACTTCGCGGACGGGATCAGCCGGTGTCTTTTGTCTGCTTTGCACATTGATAAATCTCTCTGGATAACCGTTATCCCGAAGCATCCTTCGCAGAAAGGTCTCTTCTTTTTGGACATTATTATCATCATCGTACAGCGAAATACATTGAGGCGAGCTTCACTGATCGCTGCCAAGCTCATAATGTACACAAATCCAGTGATAAAGCACAAGATGGAGAGGGATTGGGACCTACTTGGAGGGAGGCAAAGAAAAATAACCTCATGTTCAACACACAGTACACAATCTAAGTGTTCATGCATACCTTTTCAAACATTTTGACTTGTTAAGGAATGAAAACAAGAACACCACTGTTGTCGGTTAGTTGCCATATCCTAAGATCTCACTGGCCAGCCAGTTGCAGAATCCTTCGGACCCCAACCTGGAAGACGGGAGACACCAATTCTACCTAATCGCTCTGTGCATTTCTTCAAGCCTCGCTTCCACGTCATCTGTTGACCACCACGCGGTTTCTTCCAACCTGGAGCCGCAACCGCGAATAAGGCGCGGTGCGGCAGACGATGGCTGGACATGTACAATGCGTGTCCTAACCAGCGAATTTTCCATCGAATCATTACCAAATACGCGACGCCTCACCTCAGAGTTGCTTACAAGCTCACTCCATCCAACCCGAGCCAAACTACGGAAAAATCTGCAGTCTAATACTTCAAGACGACGAATATCTTCCACGCGCAAATTTAGGGTCTCGCAACCGTAGAGAAGAACTGACTTCACTCTGCGGCAGTGTATACTACCTGTCAGTTTCAACGAAACATCGCGTCTGCATCAACGGTGTTTCAATCCTGCGTAAGCTGCTCAAGCCTTGGAAATGCGGGTGGTTACTTCATTGACTACGCTACCGTCATTTGAAACGCAGCTACCTAAGTAGGTGGAACATTCCAATACAGCTAATTCTTGACCATCAAGCATCAGCGCTGGGGTAGATGACACCCAGTCTTGTAGCATCACTTTGCACTTTGAAGGTGCAAAGCGCATGCCGAAAGGAGATACAGAACTTGCTAGTCTGTCAGGAGGACATTGCGCATCCTCCATAGATTCGAACAGACAGATGATGATATCGGCGTACTCTAAATCGCACAGTTTTTCTCCAGCTACCTATCAATACGTACGTTCTAGAGACCAGTAAGTGCGTTATCCAGTACTTCGTCTACGACGAAATTGAACAAAAACGGCGAAATAAGGCACCCTTGACGGAGTCCGCTTATGGTTTTGAACGATTTACTTACCCCACCGTAGACCCTTACGCTACCAAAAGTATGCAGGTACAGCGACCGCAATAGCTTTACATACTTTCGCGGCATTCATTTGCGGAGCAGTGACCCCAGAAGAGCTTCACGGTCAACTGAATCGAAGGCTCCTTTAAGGTTAAGGAACACTGCGATTGTTGACCGACGATGTGTGACGCAGTTCGAGGACTTGACGCAGAGTGAAGATTTGGTTGATGCACCCGCGACCTGGTCGGAATCCGGCTTGCTGTTCGCGGATATTCCTCTCCCTTAAGGGTATCAGGCGGTGAAGTATCACTGAAGTCAACACTTCGCGATTATCGGAACTAACCTAATCCCACGGTAGTTAGCGCAGTCGTTGCGTGATCCCTTCTTGAAAATCGGGACGATCAACGTTTTACCCCTGAACAGAGGGATACGCTCCTCCGTCCAAATGCTATGAAGTAAGCTATTAATTGAGTCCGCAAGAGAATCTCCGCCCACCTTGAAAAGGATAGGGAAGGGACCCATCAGGTCCCGCAGCCTTTCCTTTCTTTAATGATTGAATGCAGCTTAGTACTTCCGACTCTGATGGGGGCTCACATGTTACCTGTTGTGGTTCGTACTCGGACTAGTATTTCGTATACGTATCGGATTCCGCGCACTAATAGTCCAACCTAGAACTAGAACTCGAAAAGAAATCAGAAGTCAACTCAGAGGCGGAATGGAATTGAATTAAGCGGAAATTCGGAATGCACAAGGATATCGTGTTCAATAAAACAAAAGAGTTCATAGTTCATGAGCAATCACCACATTACCTCCACAATTGCTGGAATGGCCACATTAGCACTAGNCACTGACCGGTATGCGACGACCTCCGGTGCTGCGTATCAGGTGAAATAGTTTTTGACTATTCCCTGATGCGGAAGGTACTTCCATTTCACTAGCTATTTCGGCCCACCAATTTTCACGATCTTCCTTAAGACTATTTCTGAGTTGACGTTGCAGACGACACCGGTCCTTATGCTGATCCTGTCAGATTGGGATCTTTCGCTTTTGATCCATTAGGATTACTGACTCCTGAGAGATCCAATTCCTTCGGTGAGCTTCGGGCTCTGTCCCACAAGCAAAGTTTGC